ATAGACACTTAGGCTATTGTTGAGAGTTATGAGTTGAGAGGGATGTAACCTCATGAGGGAGTACGTTGATGGTAGAGGTGAGTTACGAGTTTGGTAGAGTGAACATTGGTGGCGAGAGGGAGTCTCGTGGAGTACACGGAGAACTCGGTCAAGAGTTTGTGTGCGTGGTCCGGTGTTGAAATTCTCCATTATTGTACTATCTCTACATATATAGCGAATCTCTTCTCATCCGTGGATGTAATCCTAATTTTGGGTGAACCACGTATATATCTTGTGTTGCGGTTTGAATTGTTTTTTTTTTTTTTCTTTCTTTCTTTTGCTTCCGCTGTACCCCAACACATATGCCAAAGGAGCATGTAAGATAAAACCACCATCATTGGAGAACGCAGCAACATGAAGGTCAAAGCCTGACTCTGGCGACCAAGACGACGAAGGATAATAAATGTTCGACAAGAGGACTTGAAGATTGATTTCATGACTAAAATAAAAACCATTGATGAACATGTAAATCCTTGAAGGAGTGACGCAAATAACTACCAATATCGATACCATCATGGCTTTGAAACAACGTAATAGAGGCCGTTAAACTCCAGATCCGATTAACCATAAACGTCGCCCCTGCAAGATTGATGAACTTCTTCGTCCAGATGTTCCCAAAAAGGCTTTGATTACTAGCTTGGAAACGCCGACGTGGACGAATTTGGAACTGTAGATATCAAGATGGCAAAAACGAATACATCACCTGCGATTCTTCAACCATGGAATCGCCTACCTTCCCATAAAAGCATCACATGGTACAACGATGATCGAAAAACCCAATCACAAAAAAAAAATGTCTTCCCTACCAACAAGCCGTGTAAACCCCATCCACTGTCCAAATACTAGGGCAATTAGGTGAGTCGTATCTAGGGGTGGCAATTCATGTTCGTGTCGTGTTGATGTAAAGTTATTATACTAAATAGGTAAACCCAAACCCAACCCATTTAATAATCGTGTCAAGAATCTTCAACACTAACCCAACCCGTTTATTAAACAGGTAAACGTGTTAACCCGTTTAATGATCTGTTTATCAAAACGAGACATTTAATATTTAATCAAATACTAAATAATATTAAAAATTTGTCATAATTAACCAAAATATTCAAAATAAAATAAAAATTATAAGGCATAGATAAGGTTTACGTTGAAATGACTTGACTATTCATAGTAATTGGGTTTAAACAGGTAACGTATTACATAGTTCACATTCACGATTATAACATGTTGAGTTAAATGGGTCATAAATGGGTTACACGGGTTGAACCTCTCAACCTTGACCTGACACAGTTAAGTAAACGAGTTAATCGTGTTGACCCTTTTATAACCCAGACCCTTTTAACTCGTGTCGTGTTCGTGTCATGTTGTCGTGTCGTAATTTGCCTCCCCTAGTCGTATCACTGATAACCAAATGACTCTCAAATGGAACCCATAAATAAGAGCCCTGCAAATGGAAAGAGGAAAAGAAAGACAATCATAGAACACGGAAAACAATAAAGAACAGGAAGAAAGTTGAGGTGGACAGGAAAACAAAATAAATTGGCGCAATACCAGGATAAAAAATGAAGAGTAGCAATGGTTGGGCCACAATCCGTCCACTACTCCGAAGTCCTGATTTTATGTTCCACAACTCTTTTGTGCCCTTATGGCTAGACAATCTATAGGAGCGTCTGTCAGAGATGAGGGTAGAGATAAGCCATCCCATAAAAAACACACAACCTTGGATCAACCCTAAACTCTGATGAACAGAAGAACCTTAACGAAGTAAGGAACGGTGACTTTGATGAACAAGGAGAGAGTCTAACTGTAGTTGTTTTCTTATCACATGATGCATAATCAACAATTTTCAACCCACTGATGAACTAATATTATGAAGTTTAGGAGAAAGCTAAGTATTGAAGCCTTGGGAAGTATAAAAATAGGTGTAAGCTAAGAAGTAGAGATACGATGATACGTCAAATCTAAAAAAAAAAATGATACGTCAATAAAAAAACAATAAATGATATATATATATATATATATATATATATATATAAATTTTTGGCTATTTTTTAAAAATATTATGAATCTAAATAAAATAATTAATATAATATACGTGTTAGTTTCACAAGATATAAATCAACTATCTCTAGTTATCACTTAATAAAATTTGAAATTTTCTCATCAATTATACTATATTATTTTTGTTGAAAAAGTTACATTATAATGTTAAAAACTTGTTAAAAACGTGTTATGAACTATACGAGAAGTATCAGGTACCTAGTCGAAATATCTCAGAAATATCACATACGTGTTGAAATTTTAAAAATATATTTTAAAAGTATGGATACATTTAAAAAGTATCGAACACATACCTACGAGTATTCGAGAAGTATCGGTATCCGATACAGGTACATTGGTCTCATAAAAATATTCGTACTTATTAGAGTAAAAGCCTTATTTTTGTTGTATCTTGTTGAATCTTTTTCACGATTCCATTAACAAAAAATACTAAGAATTCATCTAGAACTAAGTTTGTTCGATTGAAAAACTATAAATGTGAGAAATTGATCCTCCAAGTTCAATGCTTAATGTTTTTTTCCATTAAAGTTCATACTTCCTTTGTTCCTTAATAGTTGGCCACTTTGGAAATTGTGACGGTCCCCCAAACATCCAACTATTAATTTTTTTGAAATGACGAAGAATAATAATAAAATGTTAAAATTTCAAAGTTACCAGATCGATCAATAATGAAATCATTATTTTTTATCATCATTTTGATTTATTTAACATTTTAATAATATATTGACTCGACTTTAATTTTTTAAAAATATAAAAAATACAAAAAAAAAATTCACCATCATCTAGTCCATTGTGAAGGCTGGAGGGGACAAGAACTATGATTTGTTTCATTCAGAAATCAATGCCTCTCTTTGACTGACAATCTGATATTAGTTTTAGGCGGCTTATGAAATTCCATCATATAATAACTCCAACCCAATTCGAATTGGGGCTGATCTTCTCAGAAAATTTGGCAACTATTTCAATGCTTTAGGATTGGATTTTGAGAAAAAATTCCCAACAAGAACTTAATTGGAGTGAGATTCAAGTTGAGGTGTTAGCTATGTGAATCTAATCCCAATCCAAATTTTTAACCTTGATATATTTATAACTTTAAACATACTTTATTTACTTATCATTAAGACCAAGCTTTTTTTCTTTCAATTTATTTTTCCTTAAATCTTAATTTATTTATTTATCATTTAAAAATTTTAGCTTTTTTTACAATATATAGTTTGATTCAATCTTCTAAACATATAATTAAAATTATATTTATTTTTTAAAAATTACCTTTTATACTCTAAATTTTTTAACTTTCTATATTTAAAATTACAAATCAAACAACCCCTTATTTTTTCAATTGAACTAGCTGCAAACTTTTATACCTTGAGTTGACCTAGGTTGACCCCGTATTCACAATACAAAGAATGGGCATATCAGTAACTTCAGCAAAAGCAAACACCTTGCCGATCCTGACTTCGGCGCTTTCGTCTTCCTCGGCTTCTTAGGAAATTCGAATCCGACTCGAAGCTCCGCAACAACACATCTCAGAATCTCCAAAAATTCATACTAACTTTAGATGCCCCAGATACACACAATCGATTCGGTAGTTACATCTCAGAATTGTCTATGCGTCTGTAGTTACAACTGACGGTACATATGAATCTATTTAAACTTTTTTTATTCAAATATTTTATCATTCATCTTCTAGGGTTTCGTAGTTTCTCTATAGTTTCTGCTACACCAGTAGGTAGATTTGGCGCTCTCTCTTTGCTTCTCGTTGATTCAACTTCTAGGGTTTCAGAAAAATATATGTGGGCACACACATACATAAGCACGCATACAGTTATATATTTTTGCATTTGTATAATTTTGGTTGCTATAATTGAAATGGAGATCAAAATCAGTTACTGTAGTATCAGGTGGCGGCACCCACTAGTTAGACATTTGTGATCAACTATCTAGGTTTTTTTGAACAACTATCATGTATGAATTCGACGAAAAAACATATATATAGAATTATGAAAAATTAATATGCTGTCATTGGGCTAAATTATAGGAAGAGCCAGATAATTTGAACTGAGGAAATGATCTAGAGGGAAATAGAATGGAAGGGAAAAAAAAAGAGATAAAGCTTTTCAAGTAAAAATTAAAAAGAAGTAGACAGTAAAAATAAAAAAAAATTTGTTTTGGATTTGACCTTAAGCGGGTATATATATATGTGAATAGCTGGCTGTTTGATTCAGTTACTGTTTACTTTTAAGGGTCCGTTTGGTTAGACATAAATTAATAGTGGAAAGCAAAAGTAAAATAAAGGAAAATTAAGTTTTCAAAATCAATTTGGTTAGCATGAAATTTTTTCAAGAAAGTTTTAGGAAAATAGTATATATTAGTTTGGATCAGGGACAGAGTCAGGATGTAAGGTAAGGGGGGGCGGGGGGGCAAAAATGAATTTTGGGGGGCAATAGTGCATTTTTTTTGTATATATATATATATTTTTTTTGGGGGGGGGGGATGTTGGGTGGGGAATGTATTATTTCATGGGTATATTACTGAAAATGAACAAATTATAAGGGTAAATTACTAAAAAAAAAATTTCAACGTAGATCCGTCACTGGTTTGGATAGCAGGAAAGTGAAAAGAAAATTGTTGTACTTACCAAATTTTTGTAGGAAAATATTATTTTGTTAGTTTGGATAACATGAAAGTGAAAAAGAAAATTGTTGTACTTACCAAAACTACCTTACAACTTCAAACAGAGTGATCTAAAAACTGAGGTGTTATAATCAAGGTATTGGGAATATATATATCTATACATATAATATATGTGTAATGTTTTTACAAATTGAATCTAATAGTCGGAATTATTTATCATAGTTGGTCACAATTCTCTTGATTTTTTTTTTTTACTGTTTTGTTTATTAAGATATTTCAAGGTGACGTGCGATGAATGATCACGTAAAATTGTGGCAGTTGAAGGGTATAATAGTAACTTACAATATAAAGAGACAACTTTTATGGGAAACAAAATCTTCTTGTGTCTTATGCGGGAAACATTTTGGAGAAAATCAACCCCTTGCGGAGATTATAGTTTCCTAAAATTTTTCTTTTTCATCATATCCAAACTAATAAGAGTTTTGAATCTTTTCCATTTCTTTTCCTTTTTTGCCACTTCCATTCAACCAAACGCACCCTATGGGTGGTTATAATTTGATCTATGGCTGGTTTGGATAATAGTTGCATTTATGTTGTTGCATCTTTTTATTTAGCCTATTGTTTGATGCTTCAAGGAAGCGGGAATGTGCCTATGCGGCATGTAGGGCATGTAGTCCGAAAAGAATTTACATTGGATATGGTAAATTAGTAGTTGGCTTTGAGTTTAATATGGTTTAATTACTTTTGTTGTTTTGTACAAATGTACGGCACGTGTTTATTGTACGAGAGCAGGAATAATTTTGTAACCATTATGTTTGCATCACTTGTGTTTTGTTGGAGTACGTTTATGTTTGTATTTAAAATTTTTGGTATGTGATTTTTGTAGAGAGAGATAATGACCAATACGTTATTTCTAGATGCTAGTTCCCTTTTATGGTAGTCCCAGTAGCCGAACATGCAGGCCCATGGCCCATTTACCTTTGTGTGCGTGAACCTGAACGCTGGGGCATGCTTGCATATGCAGAAAATAATAGTGATGTGCTCATATTTATCAGTAGAAGTGATGATTATAATTCAATAAGCAATATGATAAAGAGTCTAATAACTGAATGCTATAGATAACTATTTTAGGTGTGAAAGTAAAGCTAAATTGGTTCTCTTTATTTTGGATTCTGTTTTGTTAATTACCCTGCCTAATAAGTCCATATTGCCATCTGAAATAAAATGAAGAATAATGCTTAATCTAAGCCATGTTTTTCTAAGATTCTTCTCATTTGCCTAAATGAATGATATTGGCTTTTGTTTCGTTAATTACGCGGCTTAATAAGTTAATGTTTCCATTTGAAATAATTTTAAGAATAATGCTCACTCCACCCCATGGTTTTGGAGATGCTTCTTATTGGTATAAATGAATTAGAATATTCCATTTTAATTAGTTTGGATAACTGATTGCAATCTTTGATAAATTTTCATCGGCATTTGGTTCTTGAAATTTGAGAAATTTTGCTCTTTTTTATAGTGTTCAGGTTAACTCTCAGCTTGAATAAGGATGCAATTCGCCTAATTTTGCGCCGATGGTTAGATGTGAGTTTGTTGCACCATGCTTTTGACTTCTTCCATCATTCTTTTAGCAGTTTTAATTTCACAATTTTCTCCTCTTCAAACCTCGTCTATCATCATCCCACCAACAATTAATATTTAATGCCCCAGCTCGGGTTCCCTGACCCCAAAAACTTTTCATAGATCCTTCCGCGTGCGTATATGTCTGTTACCTGCTGAGCATGAGCATTTCCTTGAATTTGGAAATTCTGTGTACTTAGCAGATTAGAAAAGACACAGGCAGGGCTTAGGTGTAGGGATGGGCAGTAAAGGGAAAGTGGGAAAGCAAATTCATTTACAGAATCCTATATATACATATTTTTTTCAAGAAAAAACTTAGTCCATTTTTTTTTCTCTACTTGGATTTCCTTCTTTTTTCCCCCCTGCTTCTCTTTGTCTGACATGAATTGTCATTTTTTTAGAAGTTTATTAAAACAACATCCAGGTCCATTTGATGGCCCATCCTCACGTATTAGACTACATATTGACTTCAGAACCACAGGTGGTCAATATGTAGTCTAATACGCTAGGATTGCCTGGATTTTGTTTGAATAAACTTCTAAAAAAAAAAAAAATCAAACTTCTTAAAAAAAAAGGCAATTCATGTCAGACAAAGAGAAGCAGGGGAAAAAAAAAAGAAGGAAATCCAAGTAGAGAAAAAAATGGGAAAGTGTGTGTTTTTTTTTTTTTTTTTTTTTTTTAAAAAAAAAGGATTCTGTAAATTAATTTGCTTTATAGGGTTTGTCAGCCTTGGAATGATGTAAGCTTAACCATCTAACATAGTGACATGTCAGGATTTCTAATTCCTAGAACTTTTAAAATTAGAAGGTTCATCAATGTTTGATGAAGGCTCCTGATATTGTTTTAATGGATAAACTTATACAGGTTCCACACCATTTGATTGTAGTTCCTCATGTTTATAAACTTTTAGGATCTTGTGAGATATATATATATATATATTATAAGTAGAAATTTTTGATATTTTGAAGAGACTATGGTGATCATCCATTGTCAGGGTACTGCTACTAGAATGCATCGGTGATTGTATATCAGTAAAGAGAGTGTTGGTGATTTCTAATTGCTCCTTCCCATGTTCTATCTTCGTGTTCGTTAATAAACTGCTTTATTCATCGTAATTCTCCATTTCTTTTTCTTTTTTGAGTGATGGGTGCATCACCATTCTCTTCTAGTATCAAGAACAGTTATTGTTTACATAAAATCCATTTATAATGATGATTTTGCAGTTTTCTCTCTTCCTTTTCTTTTTATGGAGTTGGGAGGGGTTAGGGGGGAGAGATTTGACGAGCTTGGATAATTTTATCCTTCTGAAACTATTTATAGAAACAAAGCACATTCCACTGACATGTGGGCTTGTGTAATCTTTCTAAATGGTCGTGCATTTTAATTTAGAGAATTTTATTCTACAGATGAATCTCTGTTTTGTAGCTTGTATTGATCTTTCTGAAAATGGTTACTCCTGGACTTGTTCGAGGAGTTCCAAATCATTATTGTTCCTCTGTATTAATAATTAGTATTAAATATCTGAGCTTAATATTTCAATTTATATGCAAAAGTTAATCTTTCTCATTTTAGTTAATTTGGAATTAAGTTCCTATAACCCATTAGCCTTTGCAGGTGTATTATGCTGTTGTAGGCATTGAGAGTGCAAGTTTGGCTTTAATGTGCTTTATTGCTACATTATTGTCATGCACTACTTTGTTTACTGGGTTTATAACACGGAGGCTGTGCGGATACTGATGCTATGGCAGCATCTAGTAAGTTCGATTTATCTTCTAGTAGCCCAAATAGGCCATTATACCCGCAGCGTGGATCCCACACTGCTGCCTCATTGGATAGATCGAGTAGCTTTCGTGAGAACATGGAAAATCCAATCCTTTCAGCTCTTCCAAGCATCTCAAGAAGCAGTTCTGCTGTAACAAGAGGAGATGTCTTGAACTTCCTCCAATGCTTGCGGTTTGATCCAAAGTTGATGTCCGCGGAGCATAGATTGAATAGACAAGGGGATTTTAAGCGAGCCACAAGTGTTGTTTTTGGCGTTCCACCGGATGATTCTCCATCTGGTATCTTAAAAGGCAAGCTCTTGCCTTCTCCCTCGATGGAGGAGATCAAACGGCTCAAGGCTGGTCTTCGTGAAAGCTTAACTAAGGCCAGGTAGTCATTTTCATTTCATTTGATTTGGACTGGAGATGTATTTAGTTTCTGAAGTTGTATATGTAACAGGGGACGTGTGAAGATCTTCAACGAAGCCTTATCCGCAATCAACAAGTGTTTCCCAAGTATACCGTCAAGGAGGAGATCCCGATCAGAAGTTTTGTCTATTGACAGATCAAATGTCTTATTCCCAAGTGATCGGTCAGGCATAGGTAAGATGGGAGCACAAAGTCATGCCATTGCAACTGGTTTTGAGCTTGAGCAGCAAAAACCCGAAGAGAGGACCAAAAATGTCGGTCCAAACAAACGCACACGAACTTCTAAGGTTGACGCGAGGGTTAGCATCTTGCCTTCTTTTTTCGTTATACAATTCCTTAGACAATAGCTGATAGCCTGATACTACAATACATTTTCTAGGATTTCTTATGATAGTTTCAGGTAATTGATTTTCGCATTTTGCTAATGTTTTCCTGAAATCTTTCCCACTGTTTCGAGAATCTCCATTCCTCAATATAGTTGTCGCAATTGGCAGCCCTTCTTCATTTCGTCCATATCCTAGTACCTCAATTAGCATGAAAGCTCCCATTTTTTGTAACAGAGATTGAATGATTGATGCATATAAACAAAGAAAAAAAAAAGAAAAAAAGAAAAAAAAACAGAGATTGAATGAATGATGATTCATTGGGTTGGGTTTGTATTTTAAAGGGATTAGTTGGTGGAATCTCAGTAAAGGGATTGTTGAAATTTTTGGATGGTGGGTGTTTTAGGATTTTTGGGTAGTAGATAGAAGGTTATGGAGAGGTTGAAAAATGGATGAAACTATAGGCTGAATTTGATGAAACTGAAAATTCTGTTTGTGAAGAACTAAAAAGAAGTTGAAAAAGCAGCTGGGCATCCTATCTAGTTTCCTTTAGGCATACTCTATTGTTTGAATTGCCACACAGTCTGCAAAAAGAATATTACTACTAGAAGATTTCTGTAAAAAGACTTGTTCCTCAATGAATTGAAAACATTAGATTAGATATTGGCTTCTAGTCAGTGTTATTAAAGGCCCAAGGCTCACTAATGCGCTAAAGGTTCCTTGGAGCCTAGGCGCTAGACGCGAGGCGAGGCGCACACTTGAAAAATAAAATCACTGCAAATAAATTCATATCCCTTAGGTTTCTATGATTGGGACTTAGGTTTCTATCAAATTTAGGCTGTAATGTTTGAAAGTTATGTTGTATTTGGGCCGCATCGGTTAGCATTGGGCTACCCTTTGTCCGCCTTGCTTTATATATATAAAATCTGAATTTATCTTTCAAAAAAAAAAAAAAAAAAGGAACTTTGAAAACAAATCTGTATATCCAATTCTAAAAACTAATAGGGCATGAAACTAAAACAGAAAAAACAGCATTATAGAGAGAAAAAAACAGACCAAAAAAGAGATCACCCCAAAACAGACAGCATTATAGATTTCAGAGCACAAAAAAGAAAAGAAAAAAGTGAGCATTCAAAAGGGAAGTAGAAGATGAGGGAAAGAGAGAGAGAGAAACAGACAGCATTATAGAGAACAGAGCACCAAAAAGAAAAAAGAAGGAAAGAACAAGAGAGAGAGACTGAGCTGAGTGGTGGAGGAGAGAGAGAGAGAGAGAGAGAGAGAGAGAGAGAGAGAGGAGTTTGGAGAAGAAGAAGAAAGAGAAATAGAGAGAGAAGAAGATGAAGAAAGTGACGAGAGTTCAGAGAAGAAGAAGAAAGAGAGAGAAGAGAGATGACGAAGAATAAGAAGACAGTAGCTATGCGATTTCCCTCTGTGATTGGAGACGAAGCTTTGTGCGATTGAGAGAACAAGCTCGCGATTTCCTCTTTTTGATCGTTAGGGCTTTGGCAATATATATATATATATATATATCTCTGAAACGAACAGCTTTTGCAGTTCTCACAGCTTTTTATTTATTTGGTCTGGTTCATTTTTCTATTTGTGGCCAACACTAATCTAACGGTCCAAAATAAAGTACGTTAAATTTAAAAAAAAATTAGCAGTCAGGCATGCCTATAGGTGTCTGACGCTTAGGGCGAGGTCACGGCCTGGCTCGCCTGATGAATGTTGCTGCGCCTGGGCATAAAAAAGGCGCAAACCTTGCGCTCGTATGCGACTAGCGCCCAGGCATGCCTTTAATAACACTGCTTCTAGTTAATCTAATTTTAGTAGGACTTTGATTCCATATTTAGAATTTAAGATACTTTGACTAGTAAAACCTCTACGAATCTACTAAACTCACACAGAAAGATTTAAATGCCTCTGGTCCTCTACTTGACCCAAAGTATGCCTTATGGGCACCAACTACAGCCCATGTCCTGCTAATATTGAAATTTACCTGTTCTAAAAAAAAAAAGATTATATTCAAACCGAAGCAAACAAATCTAATCTTGTAACTATATATAGGTTTTTAGTAATTCTTAACTCAAGCTGGATTCAATTTAATGTTTAGAAATTTAATTGGTTAATTTGGTTTGATTAGAAACATGTATGAATCTACCAAAGTCTGCACATAAAGACCAAAATTCCACAACTTATAAGAAGATCCATGAACTCACTACAGCCCATTTCCAGCAATCTTTGAAATTGCCAAAATACCGTTGACTCCAAAAATATATAAAAAAGAAACTACAGCTCAAGTCCAGAAAACTTTGAAATTAAAAAAATACCATCGACTCCAAAACTATAACAAAACATATGTAAGAGTAAACTAAAAGCAAACTAATCTAAGAAAACCTTAAATAGAACTTTACTTCAACTATTATGGGAGACTCCAAAATGCTTTGCTTTGAAACCAACATTCAAGTTCTTAGAATATACTATTTATTCTAGTTTACTGTTGGTGGAAGGTGATTGGAGGAGTGTACCCTCCAGTCTAAATTTTGAATTTAGTTGTATGAACCTTAATATTTCATGGATCTTTAAATATGTTTTTTCTTGAGTTTCTTATGGTTGCATCATTTTCATCACGGCTGTTACTCCATCACAATGTCTCCTATATGTTATTATTTTTTAAAATCTCAGTAGCTTTTCTGGGGTGTTCCCTAACTTCTGCTAAGAGTCTCATATTCTGCATTGTGAATTGGTTCTCTGTTCTTCTATTCAAGTACTATATCATATTCTTCATAGAGGGCTGACGTGTGAGTTTCAATTGGTCTAGATGGATATACATGCAAATAATGCAGCTAGGGCACCTGGGAATATGAATAGGGAAGAATTAAGACTTCCAAATAGTGTTTCAGCTCAGGGTGAGGATCGAGCATTAACTATTGGCCTTGATGGTTGGGAAAAGTCAAAAATGAAGAAGAAGCGTTCTGTGATAAAGCCAGACATCTCTCCTAGCACAACGGCTACAAAGCCTAGTGATTGTTACAGGGAACCTAAACATGGAATGCAGCCCAGACTTATTACTGATGGCAGATCAAGGTTGAATGATTCTCATGTGTTCAGGTATTTCTTCTCAAAGTACTACATGACATGCATCTGCTCGTGGTGGGTTGAACTAAGCATGGGTGCATTTGTTGAGTTCCACTGTTTGGCAGTGTTACACCTCTTCCTCTATCGGTTGACTGGGGGTGTGTATATATTTCTGTGGATAATGCTGGTGTCATCCTTGTAGTCTCTTTGGTGTTTGATTTATTCCATTTTGATCTTTGTAATCTCATATACCCTTTCCGTATATAATTTAAATTGAATATTTTTGGGCTGTATGGTGAAAATTTTGGAGCTCATGGTTAGAGATAATGCCATTTCTTTTCTCTGTTGCAATCACATGATTTATACCTGATGGGTTAAGGACCGCAACCCGAGGCTCTAATAGAGAGTTATAGCAAGGCCGAAAATAGATCTTGGGGGTGGGGGGGTGGGGTTGAATAGATCTATTATGGTCTTAACTAACAATAATTGATTTTAAAATTTAAACAATTATATCTAGAATGTAGCAATATGCATAAGTTAAATATAGAAAGCAAAAATAAATAGTCAATGTAACCACACAAGAACACATTTTTTATGTGGAAAACCCAAAGGGGGAAAACCACGGGACCTAGTCAAGACAGATAAAACCCACTAATGAAAAATAGATTTTACAACTAGGATACCATTTTTTCAAACACTTGAAATTCGTAGCAACCTCCAGACACAGACTGATCCACCAAACTCACAGTCGGAGTATTCAGGCACACAATGCGCTTTGTCAACAAATTTGCTCCTCATGTAATCTTCTTCTCCTCAAATACGTTGGTCTCATTGGCTAGTCATGCATGTTTGCGTGTTTGTTGTGTAGGAACCACTTTGGTGCTGAACTATTCGTGTAGCATAAGGATTACGATGTAATAACTCACCATCTAATGCGGGATACTAGATGTTGAAAAGAAATATATGCTTTAAAATACATGATCTCTCTATATGCTCTCTCTATATTGTGCGTAGAGAGCTCTCTCTCTCTCACTATATATATATGTTGTATGAGAGCTTAAAGGTGTTTATATAGTGCCCGAGTCCAAAGGAATTGGGGCTTTTTAGTTTTAATCAGAAAAGGGAACCTAAACCTTTTAGAATTCTGATGAAGAGAAGTTTTCAAAAATTGTTCGCGCACAGACCGATTGATCGAGCTATTCTTAAGTTATATATATATACATGTATATATATATATATATATTTGGAAATTTTCAATTGATCTACACATTGATTGAGGCTTACTGTTTTTCCTTAAAAAAGTCTTGTTTAAATATACTTATTTTAAAAGTAAATTTATGCATTCTAAATAAAATTTTCATGAATGAGAACATGTTGCATTGTGCCTTAAAATGAGAATGCATGATTATGAAACCTTGATTGGTGGTTAGTTATTCCAGAGGTGATGTATCTTCAAAATTTGATTCTGCCCTTGGGCATAGGTACCACTACTGACTAACTAAACTAAGTTTTGAAGACAAAACAAAAGTTACAGATTGCGCTTTTGTTTTGAAATTTGTGGACACTAAGTCGTAATCTTAACAATACACTTTAGTCTTTTCCTTTTATTTTCATTAGTTTTCTTTTGAGAAAATGCAGATTTTAGTGCTCTCCATGTTTTTTCTAAATCAAGTGATAAGAAATTCTTTAATGACAATTTCCTTTTGTTAAGCCCTTCTGTAACATTTTCCTTTACTGCATTTTTCCCGGAAATCAAAATGGAAGATAAGATAGAGCTGAATTTTGTATTTTTTGTTTTGTTTATGAGAGTTTTATTAATCTCTACAGCAGTTGTACATACACTTGTTCTTTAATATTCCATTATGTACGCAGATCTACCATTAGAAATTAATGATAATGTTAGTGATAAAAATTGAACCCCAAAGTAAGCAGAATCAGCACCTTCCTTAAAGATACCACGTCAGAATTCTTCACACTACGACGACTTTGTCAACAATAAGATGTAGAAAGTTATTGATTGCTCATTGCTGTACCTTAACGCTGTTGTATTTTACTTTTTTAACAAGAGATTGCGGGAGTATCGCGGCAAACAGTGATGCACCTCTACATCTATTCACTGAAAGAAGCATTCTCCTTATCATGTATAATGAATGTAAAGTCTGAGAAGTTACTTCTAGGCTAGGGCTAGGCTTTACATGATCAATTGCACTTGTAGATACCTAGAAAGATTTAGAATTTTGCACCTACTTGTGGATTGCCCTGGAAAAATAATTTGCAATATCAAATAGAAGTTTCATCCTCACCTAATAGGAGAGAATTTTCATCTTTAGGAAAACGAAAAAATCTAAGGGTATTATTATTATTGTTATTTTTTATCGTTTTGACGTGGGGAAATTAACACTCAGGGTTCTTTTTTATTTTTTATTTTTATTCAATTCTCATTTGTTGGAACTATATATCCAAACAACTACAGTCTCCTTTTTTGGAACTATATATCAAAACAAATACATTGCATTGATCTTCATATGCATTTTGACACAGGCCAGGAGTTGCTAATGGAACTGGAAAAGCAGATGTCATATCACAACAAACTGGCTTGGGCATGCGTTCTTCCATCCCTAGGGCTGACCAGGACAATAGTTCACTTGTCCATGATAGAAAAGATCGTCATACTGGTTCAGACAAGGAAAGGGTTAATCTCAGAGCTATTAGCAAGTATGTAGCATATCCTTTAGACGATTTTCTCATTTACTTCTAGTAACCTTGTTATATCCACAACTGGTTTACGTTTCCTCTCGTATATATTTTCGAATACTCCCTCCTTCCCAATTTAAATGTCCCTTTTGGGATTTTAACTTTTTAAGAAAGTGTCATTTACTGCATTCACATTGTGTTGGTAAAGATTGAATTTCCAAAATTGTCCGTCTAAAATTTAAATTTTTTTCCAAATTAATTTGCATTCTATCTTTTCAAAAAAAGGTAAACTGGGAATGTTTTTATTTTTATATTCTTTTAATTTTTATAAAGTACATTGAAATTTTCAAAGGGACATTTATTTTGGGACATCAAAAATGGAAAGTGGGGCATGTAATATGGGAGGGAGGGAGTATATTTCTTCTTGGAGTCATATTCTTATATATTGGATGATGGATTTTGCTTTCCGGACCCTCTTTTCTTTCTGATTTCTTAGGTTTTTTCTTTTCCTTTTATCTCCACCCCCACCCCACCTTCTCTCCCCCGGCCCCCTTTTTATCTGGTTGGTTCATGTAGCATTTTACATTCATTTTATTCTGTATATTTTACAGGACAAATGTCCGGGAAGATTTTAGTTCTGCTAGCCCCAATTTAAACATCAAAATGAGTACAAATGCTCGGGCTCCACGATCAGGTTCAGATGTCATGCCCAAATTGTCCCCCATTGTTCAACGAATGACTGTTGCTAATGATTGGGAGCTTTCTCATTGTACAAGCAAGCTCCCTGCTGTTGGGGCTAACAATCGGAAACGCACACCATCAAAGCGATCTTCATCACCACCTGTTGTGCAGTTGGCTGGCCAAAGGCCCCAGAAGATTTCACGTACCGCTAGAAGAACAAATTTCGTTCCTATAGTTTCAAGTACCGATGAAACCTCTACTTTGGAGACTGTATCAGATGTTTCTGGTATTGAAAATGCATCAGGATTTTCAAGACACTTGTCCAATAATTCTCCTCAGCAAGACAAATTAAAAGTTGACCACTTTTCTACAGCTGCATTATCAGAAAGTGAGGAGTCTGGGGCTGCTGACATTAAATCTAGGGATAAGGGTAAGAAGTCTGATGAGATGGATGAGAAAGCTGTCCAGAATCTTCAAAAGGTGTCAACTTTGGTGCTGCCACCAAGGAAGAATAAACTGGTCAACGCTGAAGAGCTTGGAGAGGTTGTTCGGAGGCAAGGGAGGACTGGGCGAGGTTTTAATTCTGCAAGGTCTCCAATGCCAATGACAGTTGAAAAGCATGGCAATGTAGGTACAGCAAAACAGCTCAGAAGTGCCCGACTTGGTATTGATAAGACGGAAAGGTTGTACTTTTTCTCCCTCTCCATCCGATGGTTAATTGACAAATGTCATCCACATTTTGTTGTCTTGATGATGCTTGATTTTCAATTAAAATATTGTAATTTCAGTGTTTTTTTTTTATTCAGCAAGGCAGGTCGTCCACCAACTCGAAAACTTTCTGATCGTAAGACTTATACACGTCAGAAGCACACTATGATAAGTGCAGCAGCCGATTTTCTTGGTAGTTGCAGCCTAAACTATTCAACAGAGATTTGTGAATATCCTGAAATTTGTATGATTATTTGTTCTATTAGTTCTCTGAGCATCACTTTCATTTGTTTTAGTTGGTTCAGATGATGGGCATGAAGAGCTACTGGCTGCTGCAAATGCTGTCATTGATCCGAGTACTGCTCTTACTGAGAATTTATATTCCGCCCCCTTTTTTTTTGGGAGAAAAAACTTGTTTCTTTGTTGAACTAACTGATTTAATTGCCACTGTAGCTCATGGCTTTTCCAGCTCATTCTGGAGGCAGATGGAGCCGTTCTTTGGTTTTATTTCTGATGTGGACATAGCCTATATAAAGCAACAGGTGATGACCTTTTTGCTAAAAAAAAAATATTAAATTTTTGTAAGATGGATATTATTTTTTTCGCATGTCTATTGGACATAGTTGTTAGTTTGTTATTGTTTTTGACAACTAATTTGCACATAAACATGTTATATTGAAAGCAAAACCTCTTTGAGTAGCCCATTCATTTGGTATTCCATGGTTAGTTCATCTAAATATTTGCTTTGACAAGAAGTATTTTGACAGTTTTTCTTAAAGAGAAAATATAAAGGAAATTCTCTGAATTATGCATATCTTATTGCCTATTTAGATGAATTTCTGTTTTCTAAGCTCTAAACACTCTGGTTGGTAGATAAATGCAATTTTTATTGACATAATTATCAGTTCATTGACTTGGGGGGAAAATTTATCGATTCTTGGATTGAATTGTGGTTTTCCATTATCAAAAGAAGAAATATTCAATCACCTGGATGACTAAGGTTTTCAAATTTTGTTAAGAGTAATAATTTGGAGTAACTGATTTTAGACCATAATTTATTCTTTGATTAACAAGTAATAGCAAGGTACTACACATTAAGCATGGCCATTTCTGCTCACATTACATTGAAAAATTATTCTTAAAATATTTGTTTTATCTATTTAAAGTAGTATTTTAGAAGTGTGTTTGTCATTATTGACACTGTTCCAATTTAATTTTTATTTTTATTTAAGGCATTCTTTTCAAGCATGGTTCTGCTTTGATCAATATCAAGGGGCAATATTGTGGATGTATGTGCATTTGCTTGAACTTTTGGGAGAAAAATAAAAATAAATATCAAAGGGTAATGCCAATACCAAGAATGGTTTCAAAAATTGGCCAATACTCTTTGTATTGGCCCTAGGCCCCATTACTGTTTTTATGCTAGTATATTGCTTAGTTCAATTCTTAGTTGCATCAGCTGTTACAAGTTGTTACGGTTCGCATCTCCAGCTTCAGTCCTTAACATTAGGATAATTGCTGATTGGAGTCTACATGGATTTAAGATTAATCTCAAATAACCTCTTCTTAATCTCATTTTTTTTTATTTTTACCTTTTTCTCTCATTTTAAAACTCAGAACTAGATTTTTGTATATTAGATATATGTTTTTAGTGATCAATGTACAAATATACAAGTTCAAGTTTCCCGACTGAGGAAGTACAAGATTTGCATCTATTTCGTAGGGAGAGGACATTGTATCATAGTCAACTGTGACATCAAAGGATTTTTGGCTAAATTTGATCATATTTATGATTTCACAGTTTTAGTTGTGTGATTGTAGCCATTTTATCTATTGAGCAGGTTAAAAGTAATTTTAACTGACAACGATTCAGATATCAACTATTGAAGTGGCAAAGTGATGTCTACTAACTATGACTTAGAAACCATGTACGATTCATTATCAATACCAATCATGTATTTGTCATATGATTTGCTAAGAATATAATAGGTATAACATTGGGTTCATAACATGCATATCAGTTTGCAGTAGCTGCTAACTATATCCTTGGCTTTAGTAACCAAATTCCTCAATTATTGCTTGGAGCAATACTGAGTTTTCATCATGATATCAAGTCGCAATACTCCCTTCAATATTGTTACTTGGTCTCTCAGTCCCATGTATTCATGTAGTTATTCAAAACATTGCGGCCTTATGCTTAAGATATCATTTTCCCTCCATTTTTAGCAGTTTTCCATATATGTATTTTGGCACTTCATAGTCTATCTCTGCCGATATTCTCCAGGTTTTGGATGTAATAGTATAGAACACTCTGCATTTTTTAATATTATATATTGTATTTTATGAAAGGTGGAAAGTTGAGGCACAATCTATCTCACTTATAAATTTGGAGGTCTAATGCTTCTCAGATAATTTTTGATTGCCATGAATTATTCAACTTTCATTGATTTTCTTTACTTTACAGGGAAAACTTGGATCCAGTGCTCCAACACCAACCCCAGTACATGGAGATATAGATAGCTTCTATACTTTCGCTAATGGATTTTGGTCGATTGAATCCGAGAGGGATACAAATGAAACAGAATGTGTTGAACTTGCGTCTAAACATTTAGTACCAGGTACAAGGAGTCCGAACGATATTCCCCTTTGCCAGAGACTCATCGCAGCTTTGATCTCAGAAGAAGAAAATGAAGAGCCTTGCTGCAATAGAAATGAAGACATCAAATTTGATGTTTATGGATATGGATTTGAGCTGGATGCTGAGTTAGAATCCAGTACTTTGAATCACCGTACGTCACGAAACTTACACCTTGCCGGACTTGCTGCTTCAAATGGTTATAGGAGAAATGCCACTGGGAGAGCCCTTAATGAGCCAGAGCACAATGTGCTAGATAATGGCATAGTGGCCATCTCAGAAACAGGGATTATTTCAAACTTCAATCATTTGCAAAATGGCTTACTCCCAGACCAACCAATGTTGCCTGGAATTGCCTGTTTAGAACTTCAGTATGATGAAATGTCCATGAATGAAAGACTTCTCCTGGAGCTTCAGAGTATTGGACTTAATCCAGAGCCAGTGGTTAGTTTCCTTTTACAAAAGCCCTCATATTGAACAGGGTTTCCTTTTCATCTTTTTTTATTTTTTATTTTTATTTTTTATATTTATATATATATTTATTTTTATAATGGTTCTTCATTTATATTGTGGAGTTACTGTCTGGATATCCTATTTTTATACTCCTAGTGCCCCCTCTCTCTCAAGAGATATCTCTCTCTATATTTATAGAGAGATTTTCCTTAAAATAATTTATTTATATAAGGCGTGTCAGTATAATCTTCTGAATGCATATTCCCCTTTCTTCAGCCTGATTTAATGCAGACAGGGGATGAAGAAATAAATGAAGATATCAGCAGACTGGAAGACAAGTACCATGAACAGGTATTTTCCGATTGCAAAGTTAAATCCTTCCTGTCAAATCAACTATCTATCTATCAATCTATCTGCGTTCTTCATCTTATTTTATTTTAATTCTTTCCTTTCTTAGGATCAAGAATTTAAAATGGGCTTTCTTTCTTCTTCTTTTTTTCCCTTGCGGGTTGGGGAGTGTCCTGCTATTTTATTCTTTTATTTTCTTTATATATATTTGAACTAGCTGCGTTCACATTCTTCCACTGTCAAAGGCTTACTCTCCCACATTTGGATTAGGAATTGATAACAAATTGTATAGTTTTACATGCATTATGTGATTATTTTTCAATGAACTTCCCATCTTGCAACAAAGTTTATATATATCTTCAGGAGTTCATCTCATTGTTTTGTTTGTATCATAGGTTTCCAGGAAGAAAGGTTTACTTGGTAAATTGTTTATGTCAGCTTCAGAAACAAGAGATCTTCAAGAAAAGTAATGATTTTATGCTTTTAGATAACCCGACTTGCCTTGTAATTTTTGCTCAACGTTCCATGCATAATGGTGCTAATCCAAACATTTATTTGTTGTACAGGGAGTTTGAACAGCATGCTCTTGACAAGCTGGTAGCAATGGCTTATGAAAAGTATATGGTAATATTATTGTACTCAATTTGTTTCCCTCTTATTATCTGAAAATTTGAATGCATGCCTGTGTTGCATGTGAAGTAAAAATTATATACTCTTGGTCTTTCCACAAGAGGACTCGAAATGCAAATGTGGAAATAATGTGGTGATTGGTGTATGAAGAAATTTATCATTAAGAAAGTTCAAGCAACAAAATTGCCCACGATTATCATAGTATATGATGTTCATAATTCTCAGAACTTTACATGCTAATTCCCAGGTTCTCTGTTTTGAGAATTCCTGGACTTGTTATGGATGTAAGATTGATGACCATTGTGTTCTTCACCACTTCTGATGCTCAGCAAATAAATAGGATGAAGAACAACTAGTTTACTCACCATTACGGAGAGAGAGAAAGCTTCAGGTAACGGAAACGCGGTCTGAGCCCACTGCTCCGACGAGTTACTTTCCTTTGATTTTCTCTTTCCTCTCTCGTGGTTTTTTTTGTTTGGGTATCCGTTCGTTCTTGGAGGTTGCGAGTCTCCCACGTCTGTTTCAAGGTGGCTTTGTGAGATCTGCTTCTATGTACAGAGGGGTGTCGTTTTTCTTGGATGATGACTCAGTGGGCAAGGGAAGAGAGGATCTGAGGTAATGTTTGGTTGGGAAATTCGACAAAGAAGTGGGTTCTAGGGCTCAGATTGCAAATTCGGCCTCGCATGCTTGGAAAGTTTCTCTGGCGGTGGTTGTATCTCCTTTGCCGGATTCTCTTCTCCTTTTCCGTTTTCCCTCTTCGGCGGAAGCAGAGAGAGTGCTTAAGGGGGGGTGTCGTGTCTGGGGGAAGGCTAAGCTTTCTGTGGATTCATGGAATTTCAGGGTGGGATGTTCCGACATTTTGAAAGAGCAAGGGTTGAAGAAGGTGACGGTGTACGGCCTCCCTTTGCACCTTTGGAGCCATGCTCTTTTTGTGATGATTGGGGATTTATGTGGCGGTTTTATCTGGGTGGATGCTGATGAGTCTCTTGATGCGGAGAAGGTTCAGATCACTGTGGTTGACGATCGTTCTTACCCGTCGTTCATCTTTGTTCATGATGACTGATTTTGCTATAAGGTAGCTGTTTGGGAGGAATCACCCCCTCAACTTGTCCCGACAACTAATAGCTTGGAGGGGGGGGATGGATCTCACTTGTTGAAGGAGGTGAAGTGGTTGAGGTGGACTTCAATGGGTGGTAAGGGGATGGCAGAATTCCGACGTTGGAAGAAATAGAGGGATGATCTTTGGGATCGTAACACAGAGTGTTTTAGAAGGATCTACACTCAGAGAAGGCGAGAAAGGTTTTCGTTTTCTTCTCTGTCGGTTGGTGGCCAGAATTTTCAGAGGGGCGGCGGGCTGGCTTTGGCCGTCACTTTCAGAGACGGGATGGGAACCTTTTTGGAGGTGGCTTTCACGCGTGGGTGGGGGAGAAAAAATTACCTGACACGTGGGTGGCACAGAGGTGAGAACCGTACTAAGTGGGTTACAGCTGGTTCTTTTTCAAATTCCTTTGTGAAGCCAAGAACGGATAGGTTGTCATCATGTGTTGGTGGGCTTGAGATTGGGCCTATGAGTATAGATTTGGCTAAGCAGGCTCTGGTTCCGGGTGGGCAGGTTGTTGGGTCTTCTTGTTTTAAAGAGATTGGATCATCACTGTGTGGGCTTATTAAAGGAAAGGAGGCGCATGGTGAGGTCAATTGTCACTCGAAAGACCTTTCGGATGTTGTGGGCTGCAAGACTTTAACTGGGCCAATTTCTGTGTCGGATGACCCTGGGCCGCTTTGTTCTGGATCGATTGTAGCTAACCGATTTGGTCCACTCTCTTCTATTAAGAGTTCGTCCCAGGTCTCTCAAAAGGATGGTCGGTGAGCATTGAAGCATTCTCAAGGGCACCGACTGAGATCGAAGAAAAAGATCCTTCTCCCTGCCTTCCGAAGAAAGTGGACTCGCAAGGAGAAACAAAAATGGATCCCTCGTTCAGATTCTTTCACAAGTAAGTTGGACTCTTTGAAATGCTCTGTGTCTTTTGTTCCTTCTTCTTCTACCCCTTCTTCATCTTCTGGATTGTTGAGGATTGGCTCTGAGAGTTCGATAAGGCCGGTGGCCTCTGTTTCATCGGCTTTGGGAGATGGTTTGGAGATTGGGCAGAAGGTGTTGTTTGGGGGCTTTCAGGTGGAGGGGTTGGGATCTTCTCGACCGGTGGTTCGGAAGAGTGAGAATGTCACAGTTTGTGTGGCACGTGATGTGAAAATTCGGTTGGATGATGCTTCTGCGGTTGTGTTGTTGAGTGAGTTGCAGACTCATTTAGCCTTGAAAGGCTTTCAGGATGGATCGACTGGGCCTTTGTCTGCAGAGGAATGTGGGATCTCGCTGGTTTCCTGCTCACCTCCTCCGTTGGTTGTTGAGGATGTTGATGGTGGGTCGGTTTCTTCTGTTAATGAGGATTTGGGGTTGATTCAGTGGAATGGCAGTGAGATGGAGTTTGATGTTTTTTGCTCCTTTGGCTGTTGTTCGACCGGAAGAGGATTTTGTTGCTGGGAATGTTTTTGAAGCAGGGATGACTGATGTGGAGGAGGATTGGATGAGGGAGAAGGGTGTTGAGATTGGCTTTTTGTTGGGAGTCTCTTTTGAAGACAGAATGGAGGAGGCGACTAACTTGTTTCTTGAGATTTTGAATGCCCAGCAGATGGAAAGAATGGGTTTTAGGGGGAAGAGAGGAAATTTTCCAGTGGGGGAAGAGGAGAGGGGTGTGTCAAGCACAACGACACTTGTCACTTATAAAAGGAGGCGCAACGGTTCTAGGGAGAGAGGTGGACAAGGAAGGGGAGAGAGTATTAATTATGTGGTGTCTCTATGAAGCTACAAATTCTTTCATGGAATGTCCGGGGTCTCAATGACCCGGTTAGAAGAAAAGTGGTGAAGGCGGTTATTCGTAGAGAGAGAGAGAGGGGGGGGGGGGGGGGCATGGGGTGTGTTTGCAAGAAACTAAGATTGCGACGATGACAGATGTGATTGTATGTAGTTTGTGGTGGGGGGGGGGGGGGGATTTGTGGATTGGTTTGCTTTGGATGCAATTGGCTCCGCAGGGGGTGTTCTTGTGATGTGGGATAACCGGTGGGTCTCTAGGTTGGAGTCTCAGGTTGGGATTTTCTCTGTTTCCTGCGTTTTCTCTATGGTGGAGGATGATTTCCGTTGGGTGTTCTCTGCCATTTATGGTCCTAATGAGGACAGTGATCGTCATTTGCTTTGGGAGGAGTTGGGAGAGGTTCATAGGGGTTGGTCGCTGCCTTGGTGTATTGGCGGAGATTTTAATGTTGTTCGTTCTCCTTTTGAGCGATCGACGGGTGGTAGGTGGACGGTTGATATGGAATCTTTTTCGGAGTTCATTGACGTTTTTAGATTGACTGATTTGCCTTTGGTGGGTGGGCCTTTCACTTGGTCCAGTGGGTGGACATCGTCAAGCGATTGGGAGGAGCACTTTTCGGATGTTGTTCAGGCCACTTTGGCTCGCCCTTTATCTAACCATGTCCTGTTGATGTTGGATTGTGGTGGGTTGCGTAACAGAAGATCCCCTTTTCGATTTGAGAACATGTGGCTGCGGGCTGAGGGGTTTTTGGAGCGAGTTTTTTCTTGGTGGATGGAGTATTGTGTGGCAGGCAACCCTAGTCACTCTCTCGCAGGTAAGCTGTGGTTCTTGAAGAATGATCTTAAGGTTTGGAACAAAGAGGATTTCGGTAATCTAGTGTGGAGAAAGAATCGGGTTTTTGCTGAGATTGCTGATATTGATCGTTTGGAGGGTCAGGGCACTTTAGCGGACTCCTTCAAAAGTAGGAGGGTAGAGTGTCAGGTAGAGTTTGCGGAGATTGCTGTCTTGGGAGAAATCTCATGGAGGCAAAAGTCTAGAGCTTTGTGGTTCAAGGAAGGGGACAATAATACGAAATTTTTTCATAGACTTGCCAACGCTCATAGAAGGAGCAACCATATTGGGAGGATTCGGGTGGATGGGGAGGTTTTTTGTAAGGAGGAGGAGATTTGTAAGGGTTTTACTGATTTCTTTTCTATGTTGTTCACCGAACCGAATGGTTGGAGACCTTTGCTGGACGGGCTTCATTTTGACTCTATTTCGAGTGAGGAATGTTCCATTCTGGAAGTGCCTTTCTCTGAAGAGGAAGTTGTGTCTGCTTTGAAGAGCTGTAACGGGGATAAAGCCCCAAGTCCTCATGGGTTTTCAATGCGTTTCCTTTTAGAGTGCTGGGAGGTGGTCAAAGAAGACGTGATGGGTTCTTTTCATGCTTTCCATGCTCATGGCTCTTTTGAGAAGAGTTTAAATGCCACTTTCATTGCTCTCATTCCGAAAAAGGGAGGAGCGTTTGATGTTAAGGATTTTCGTCCTATTTGCTTGGTGGGATGTTTTTACAAGTTGATTTCCAAAGTCTTGGCCTCGAGGCCAAGGAAGGTTCTGGATGGTATCATCTCGGACTCTCAGAATGCTTTTGTGGGAAGTCGTCAGATTTTGGATTCAGTTCTTATTGCCAGTGAATGTGTGGACTCCAGGTTGAGCAGTGGGGTTTCGGGTGTTGTTTGCAAGCTGGACATTGAGAAGGCGTACGACCATGTGAGTTGGAGCTTTCTCATTTATTTGATGGAGAGGATGGGGTTCGGGAATCGGTGGAGGAGATGGATTCTTTTTTGTATCTCTAGTGCTCATTTCTCTATCCTTGTGAACGGAGCACCGACGGGGTTTTTCTCTAGTTCGAGGGGCTTGAGACAGGGGGATCCACTGTCCCCTTTTCTTTTCCTTTTTGTGATGGAGGCACTCAGCAGATTGTTGAAAAAGGCTGTTGAGCTTGGATTTTTGAAAGGTTTTCGGGTGGGCAGAGATGTTGCTAGTCAATTGGAGATCTCTCACTTGATGTTTGCAGATGATACCTTAGTTCTTTGTGATGCTGATGCGTCCCAGCTGAGATATTTGAGATGCGTTTTAGTTTGGTTCCAAGTTGTCTCTGGGCTTAAGGTGAATGTAGGAAAGAGTGTTTTAGTGCCGGTTGGGGAGGTTCCTGATATTGAGATGTTTGCTCAGGTACTTGGATGTCGCACTGGATCTTTCCCCATTTCTTACTTAGGTTTACCTTTGGGAGCATCTTAGAGATGTGTGGGGATCTGGGATCCGGTGGTGGATAGATTTGAGAAGAGGCTAGCGGGTTGGAAGAAACAGTACCTCTCCAAGGGGGGAAGGGTCACTCTGATTAAGAGCACCCTTTCTTGCCTCCTAACTTATTTCATCTTTCTCTTTCAGATTCCTTCGTCTGTGGCTGAGAGAATTGAGAGTTTGCAATGTAATTTTTTTTTTTTGGGGGGGGGGGGGGGGGGGGGGAGAGAGGAGTTCAAGTATCATCCCAGCAAGTTTGCTGTCCTTTACGGAATGGAGGTCTTGGGATTAGAAGGTTATTGCCTTTCAATAGGGCCCTTCTCGGGAAATGGCTTTGGAGATTTGGGGTGGAGAGGCATTGGCTCTGGAGGAGAGTTATTGTCAGCAAATTTGGGGATAGTGGAGGGTGGAGCTCCTTTAAGGTGCGTGGTCCCAGGGGGTGGGGGTTTGGACTTGCCTCCAAAAGGGGTGGGACGCCTTTAGCAAGCATATTCGTTTTCGGATCAGAGATGGTAGGAGGATCAGGTTTTGGGAGGACCTTTGGTGTGGAGAGTTTCCCCTTGCTCTTTTTTTCCCATGGCTCTATAGGATTGCTTCTCATAGGCAGGCCCGGGTGGTTGACTGTTATCATCTTGATAATGGTAGACTAACTTGGGATGTGCAGTTTAGGAGGCATTTTCAGGATTGGGAGATTGAGGAGGTCACTCGTTTTTTGGAGTTACTGTATCGCAAGGTGATTTCTCATGGGGATTCTGATTGTTGGATTTGGAGTCCTAATTCTCAGGGCAGGTTCGAGGTGAGGCCCTTTTTTAGGTGCCTTTCTGCTGGTGATGGAGGTCCTTTTCCGTGGAAGTCTATTTGGCGCTCCAAGGCTCCCTATAAGGTGGCCTTTTTTGCTTGGACTTTGGTCTTGGGTAGGATTTTAACCCAGGATAATTTAAGGAGGAGGAATCAAGTGATTGTCAATCGTTGTTTCTTGTGCCTGCGCGAAGAGGAGATTGTTGATCACCTTTTGTTGCATTGCAGCATGGCTAGAGACTGTTGGGATTTGATGATTGGTTTATTTGGGGTCCCTTGGGTTATGCCATCTTCTTCTCGAGGGTTGATTGAGGTTTGGAGGGGTGTCCCAGTGGGGGCTCTTATTTAGGATGCTTGGAGGGCTACGCCTCTTTGTATTTGGTGGTGCATTTGGCTCGAGAGGAATCGGAGATACTTCGAGGGAAAGGAGAAGCCTATTTTTGTGCTCAAGTTCTCCATTATTTCCACTCTCTTTTGTTGGGTTTCCGGGAGAGATTATCGTTCTATTGATGAGATTGTTATTTTTTTTGGCCTCTTTGAAGGCTTGAGGCTTTTTGTGGCCTTTTGTTTCCTTGGGTTTCGCTCCCCTTTGAGCGCTTTTTATAAAATATTACTTATCAAAAAAAAAAAAATGACGTTCATAATTCTCAGGCAGGCATATCATTCTAAGAATACTACTGCCAAAGTGCACCATTCTATTGAATATAATCTTAGTATCTTGTGAAAAAGTAAATGCTATAAAATGTTTGGGCAACGTTTCTGGCTGCAAAGTTTTTCATTATGACAGTGGATGTCGTCTGGCCTAAGGAATTTGCTTGTGGAGTTTTTGACCCAAGCTTCAATGTTGGTGGGGAACTAAGTGCTCCTCCCTCACATCTGTCGGTTTCAGTGTGTGCGGGACTCACATCTCTGTATATGTGCCTTCTGCTTATATATTTGTTGTTGGTTGTGTTTGGTTTTACATTTTTATTATTAGTACTGATATTATTATTATTTTTTTTTTCGTGTGTGCGTGTTGATTGTGTTCATGTGAAGTTGAGATTCTCAATGAAAATATCACTTTATCTGTTTGTTTTTTAAGGCCTGAATTTCCCATACAGGTTGCCATCCCAATTAGTGCTGCTTGGATTACATTCTTTTTGTAAATTGAAACCGATGCACGAATTTGATGAAACTTTTTTTTGGCAGACTTGTTTGGGTCCTAATGCCTCTGGGGGAAAGAGTGTCAGTACTAAAATGGCCAAGCAAGCTGCCTTAGCTTTTGTTAAGCGGACATTAGAGCGATGCCAGAAATTTGAAGATACAGGCAAGAGTTGCTTCAGCGAGCCATTATTTAGGGACATGTTCCTTTCTGGGCTTTCACACTTCAATGATGCAAAACCAGTGGATGCTGCTGATGGTGAAACTGACAAACAATATGTCAACACATCTGGTTGCTCTTTGGAATTTAGAGTTTCAGGTATTTTACTTGATGCCTTTGGAGTAAAAGACTTCAAGTTTTCTACTTATACTACAACAAACTAATACCTACGATTGTGTATATCAAATTATTCTTTTAAGTCTTTAGTTGGTGAAAAATTTATGCAGGCTTTCTTAGCTTTTATTATAGGGATGTTTTTTTCCTGGTCATATGGCATGTATCAGTTTTGTGTTGTGATGCTGTCTCTTTTGCAGCTCCCTTGGATACACAGCAAAGCCCTTCTCTAAACAACCATGACATTTATTCTTCTAGTGCGCTTCTGTCTGGAAATCACTCGTCTGAAGAAACTATTAGTAAAGAAGATACGTGGTCGAATAAGGTGAAAAAAAGGGAGTTGTTACTTGATGATGTGGGTGGTACAATTGGTATGTCTACTGCACCTTCTGTCATTGGAAGTTCTCTTTCAAGCAGTACAAAAGGAAGGAGGAGTGAGAGGGACAGAGAGGTAAAGGGAAATGGCAGAGGAGTATTATCCAGAAATGGAACCACTAAAATTGGTCGGCAAGCATCATGCAATGTTAAGGGGGAAAGAAAACCCAAGACCAAGCCTAAGCAGAAAACAACTCAACTATCTGCTTCTGTCAATGGCCACCTTGGCAAGATATCAGACCAACCTAAAGCAACATTGCCTTCAATTTCAAAGTCAAGTCAGATGACAAGTGGTAGTGCCAAGGGAAAAGATGAGTTTAGCTTTGATGACCCTGAGGCCATTGATTTATCCAACCTGCAACTCCCTGAAATGGATGTTCTTGGTGTTCCTGATGATCTTGGTGGTCAAGGGCAGGATATTGATTCGTGGCTTAACATAGACGTTGATGGATTGCAAGAGCATGATATCTTTGTGGATGGCCTTGAGATTCCAATGGATGACTTATCAGAGTTAAATATGATGCTTTAAAGTTACTTTCTTTGTATATTCCTGTTCATTATTCTAGAAGAAATATAATTGCATTGTCAAGAAATGACCGACTACGTGGATGGTCGTTTGAGTGTCTAGTCCATGATTAGGCTATAGATTTTTTACAGAGACTTCTGCAGAATTTGTTTTCTGAGTGAATGCTTCAGATGTTTTGGATTTTGCCCCTGTTTAAGTTGGTGACTTCGACCATAAAGATCGTTTTGTTCAGCATACAAGGTAGTATGTCCTAGTCATTATATTTTAGAGAAACCCTGTATTCTGGTTGTATAATTTACAAATCAGATAGCAATGCCTTCTGTACATATATTTTATGTTTCCAATAAAATCAACTTTTTGTTTTTGCATTACTCTAGTGGTTAATAACATTTTCTCCTTCAGGCCTTTTTCGTTTATTCTTCATGGAAGTATTTTCTATATGCCAGCTACTGTTGCAGTTGTCCTTATAGGATCTCCATCTTGAGGGTTAGGTATAAAATTGTTCGAGCATGGATATGAACTGAATCCAGGGCAGAGTTTTCAGTAAAGATATAAAAATGCAGGGATTTTGGTGTTCAAATTGTTGCTTTGCATTTTTCCTGCCTTATTTTAGTTTCAGTGCATTATACACATTCCTGGTTGTTCTTTGATATGTTAGGCCAGCTTGATTGCAAGTTTTTCATTACCTATCATTGTTGACTTCATAATATAATTTCCATGTAATTATATGACCTAATGCCCAATTGGTGGAACATCAACGCTCTTTTGAAATAGATTATGGCTATAAGTTGTGTGTTTGTGTGTGTGTGTGCGTGTTTTATCCTCATAATGTACATATTCATTGCTGGTAAAATGTTTAGAACATAGCGAAGGGCTTAGCCAAAGTTGTATCTCCACCTCCTTCCAAATGGAAGGTTGAGGGCTGGAGTCCCCCGTGGGACAATAATAGGTGTGTGCATCTTTCACTTACCAAGAAAAAAGGAAAATTGTTTATCAGAGTGTTCTGCCTTGAGGTTTTTTGTTTTTTGACAGAGTATACTCGTTCCTGGCATGAAATGCTAGTATACCGTCTCCAGAGACAATCAACTTACACTTCTTGCAGCTAAGGTAAGTGTTAAATCCCTGATTTGTATTTTTTACTTCAACCATATTCAACATCTGCTAATTGGATGTTCTGATTGCTCCACATAATGCTTAGGAAATGTATTTTTAAAGCCATGCTTTTAGGAAACTCTGAGGCTGAAATGTTTTGTGGTTCATTTGTGGCTGAAATGTTTCCTAAAAACACTGAGGCTGAAACGTATGTTAGGAAGCATTTCAGCCATGCTTTTAGGTAACACTGAGGGTGAAAGGTATGTTTGGAAATATACGTTTAAAGCCATGCTTCTAGGTAATTAATACAGTTCTCTTTTTCCTTTCTCTCTCTCTTTACTCCTAGCCATTTCTGACAAGGTACTGTACAACCAAGTATAATTGGACTTCATTTCTTAACATATCTTCCTTGGTGCTCTATTTAAGTGGCTTTATTCTTTCATGCCGTTCATTTTATGTGGTTTTATGACTTAATATGATTGATTCACTCTAAATAAAAAATAAAGCTTGTCATCTTAAAGGGTGTGTTTTGATAAACCCTTTTTCTACTGGTAACAATGGTCAACATTGTGTGGGAATGATGGGGTTACAAACTGAATCAAGTTGTCAAGGAATATTTAATATTTCTGACCCAACTCCTTGAAGAGTTCATTCACATTCATTCATTAGCTAAATAGGTGGTGTTGAAATGCAAGTTATGGATTCTTTTATTAAGCAAAATCGAATTTGAACAATGGTATGAGAAGAAATACCAGATTGAAGGAATACGAGAGAAATATGTAAAGGCTTGAACGACAATAATAACATGTAAAGGCTTGAATGAGGCTTATGCGCAAGTAAAGTCAAATTTCATGATTTTAGCCTATCATATCTCAGCTAACCCTCCCCCTCAAGTTGGTGCGTGGATATTAGGACGCCCAACTTGGACAATGCTTCCTCAAACACGGTCTTTATAAATATGTAGTCAACGACTAGTTTGGCTGCATTAAATTGACTAGCCAAGATATAACCATGGCGTTTTCTCCAAACCACTGTGAATACATCTTATCTGATCCAGCTGGTGTCAGACCATAAACCATTAACAGTATCCTTAAATTATAAGCAACCAACCATGTCTCCTCAAACCATAAATATTTTAGATATTCTTTTGGTGTATTCTAGAATTTTCTTTCCTCTTGGATAGGTGACGTGTATAGATCATAATTATTCTTTGTAAGGCCCTTAGTTTCCTTATCATGATCGAGAACATAGATTATCTAGTACCTCGTCGCCAACTAGGGAGATTAAATCATCTTGAGTGCATGCCCTATTAAGGGTATCACCAAAAATTCAACTAACCAGTTCATCGTAGATTAAATTACCCAACATAAATAACAGGGCAATTGATTGAAATATCTCTTCCAACATTTCAGCTTGACAAACCCACCACAATCAAACTAAACCCCAACTTCTTAGTTGGATTTTTGGTCATACATCGGGAATGCACTCAAGAATATAGGCAATGTTCAAACTGTTGGTAACTCCACTTTGTGGGAACCAAATATTGAGTAAGAGTTTGGATGGGATCACTCTACAGTGGCAGCGAATAATGGGGAGGCAAGTGGGGCAAGCACCCAAATTGTCTTTGAGTTGGATTCTGTACCCCGGTGGGGATTGACATCTATCTGTGGAAGAAGGTTAGAGATGGATGATGTTGTTGTGGCTTTACTGAGCTTTTTGAGAATCCCTACTCAAATTCTAATCAGTGACCCAGTTTCAAATGACGTGTCAATTGCCATCCTTTTTCCTTGCTTCTTTACCACCCACTCAGACATTGTCTTCACTGGAACACAGCCCATTTCTTTGGAGTCTATGATGGACATGGGGATCTCAGGTATAAATTGTTTCACTTCTATTTTATTTTTGTTCTATTTCTACGTCTTTCTTTTTATTGTCATTTTATTTTCAAATTTGAAGAATTTTATTTGTTCAAGCGGGTTCATTTCATATGGGGGATTAGGTTACTAATTTTTGCCATGATCTTCTTCATTTAGCTTTGGCTGAGGAGATTGAAATTGGGATGAAGATTCCAGTGTTGGGGATAATTGGTAGGAACAGTGGGAGAAAACGGTTTTGAGTTGTTTTACAAAAGTTCATGTTGAGGTTGTTGGAGTCCATAATTGCAGGAACCTATTGCTTCAGGTCTTGTTGGGTCCACTGCTGTTGTTGCCATTATTTGTCCAACCCGCATCATTGTTGCAAACTATGGTGATTCAAGGGCTGTCCTATGTCGTGGAAAACTACATGTTCCGTTGTCAGTGGACCATAAAGTAAGGCTTGTGTTTGTATTTTTTACTACAAATATTATTTTTTTGGATACGTATGGAGGCTGGTACTCTTTAGCACTGATACCCATTTGTCTTTAATTTTAGCCAAATAGAGAAGAGGAACGTGAAAGAATGGAAGCTGCAGGAGGCAAGATCGTTGACTGGGATGTATCCCGTGTTTCAGGAGTTCTTGCTATGTCCAGGTCCATTGGTACGTGTATCTCAACTGTGATCTTGATCGTTTGCTTGTTTTTAGTACTAAATGTTTCTTGCATGGTTGACCTAGCTTGATACCAAAACTTTTTTGGATTGATAGTAGATATTAGTGTTCCATTATGATAATGGAGTCTGAATTTGGAGAAGATGTTTGGTGGATGAGTGGCAAGATGTAGACTTTAAGAATAGGAATGAGTTTATAATTTCAATCCCTGGACTCAGTGGTAGATCAATAAGTCATGAAGAGGAAGTGGACTGAACTGTTGGTAATATACCTTTGATATCGTTCCATGTTCTGGTCCAACATATATAAGTGCATCTGTTTGTGGGTGCACATTGACATATAATCTGCAGGAATGAACAAACAAGATATCATATTGCACAATGAAAGATTTAATTCTCTCAGCTTACTTATAAAAAAAGAAAAAGAAAAAAAGATTTTTAATTCTCAGCTTGCTATTTTAAGATACCAATTTAGTCATGAATATTAGAGTATCAAGTCAAAATTACAAGAATACCCTAACAATTGACGTTCTAGAACGTACATGCAAAAAATGGAATACTTATCCGAGGACATTAAATTTGGTAACCGAAAAAGTTAATTTATATTTCTTCCTTCATATCTAGAGGGGGATAATAGTGAAGTCTCTTAGCAAATAAGAAACCACTATGTATTGGAGACACTTAATTCATTGCTTTTAATCTTGTTTCATTCCAATAAAAATAAGTTTTCCATAAAGTTATAAACAATTGATGCACTTTAATGATAATAATTCTCATTAATCATCTTTGCGTTTAGAGAAAACCACTATTTTAATTAGAATGACCTCACGATGTTCCCACTGTTCTATATATAGTGTTCCCCCAATCATACTACATCTAGGGTATGTGGTTTCATCTCATTACCCTGAAACATCCATATGTAGTCTTGTAATTTTATGTCATGTTTCTTAATACACACACACACACATATATTACTGATCAACCAAGATCTTCGACACTCGGCTCAACTACTGAGCTGTTATTTTGCTGTTGAAAATAAATTCTCTTCCATTCTGATTTAGATTTCTTGATGCAGTGCAAATGCAAGAGGATTTTCTTCAAAAAGTTGAAGATCATTGTTTATGGGTCTTAAATCTGTTTTAGTTTTATGTTTAATGTTTGCTTTAAGCTCTATTAGGGTATTATTATCATTCTGGTTTTATTTTATTAGTCATGTGCCTTTTAAGCGAGTCATGCGACTATTTAAGGGCTGTTTTGTCATTTTTTTAGCTCTTTATCATGCTGGACAGAATACTAACCTTTAAATTACATTTATATGGTGGTCTAGGATTAAATTTTTGTTAGGGCATCCGTTGTGTCTTATAAAAGGGCTGTTTCAAGTTATAATCAGCAGTCTTTTGCGTATTATCAATATGCTACAGCTGCTTTTACCTCTCTCAGTTCTTTGGGATTGAGTTGTGGGTGTTCACGCTATTCATTAGCTTGAATTAGCTCTCTGTTTTTCCTCCTTCAGATTTATTTATTTATTTTCTTTCATAGCTGATTGAATTATTTCTTAACCATTTACCAATTAAAATATTCAATATTAACAAATTTTAATTTTATTTTTTTGCGGGATTCAGGTGATAGATATCTGGAACCATATGTTATTCCTGATCCAAGAATGATGTTTGTGATGTGGTGCGAAGATGAATCCTCCTTTGGCACAAGAAGAATGATTATACGGTGGTGCAGGAGGCGGCGTGGGAGTTGCTGCTGTTCAAGATGCAGCATACTACCTCTCAAGACTTGCTCTTTGATTTTAAGCTCATCAAATGTTTCCCTTTTTCTATATATATATATATATTCTTCTGTTTTCTGATATATGGTTATAGATGAACTTCATCAGATCCACATGGTTAAAATCATTTTCGCAGTTAAGCCTGTGTGGTACGAAAACAGCTGTGCATATTATAAAATTTCAACAAATGGAATGCACTATAAAGTTGAACATAGATGCGCCAATATCTGGTGATGTAAATTTCAAGCATGAGTGTTGACGGAGGAAGTCTATATAACATGCTTTCTTGTCTAGGTGAGATATCTAACTGCAGGGCAGTGAAGCTTGTGATGCACAGCCCATTGCCTTGAATATCCAGTTGTACAGTTTAAAATAGAAATGGTCTTCACTTCTTCACCCTTACATCACATGGGCTCTTCACCTTATTAACTAACATTAGGGGAAAAAAATACAAGTCTAGCATTTTTATTCTCTCTTCTGCTAACGTTTAATGTGCCAAGTTATGTCCTTACCTTTGCTTCTTTGGACTAAATCAAGACGAGAAATTTAAATAAATTTATTTATTTATTTTAGTACATTAATATTAATGAATTATATACATTACTTTTTTAAATTTCTTTATACTAATTCAATCTAAAAAATTGGAGAGAATATATCCAATGAATTCAGTCCACTCTAATCAATTAATTTTACATGGGGTCTTTCTACTATGGAGTAATTCTTATTCTTTTTATTAAAAATTATGTGAACGAGGCGTTGTAGATTTTCAGAGAGCCATGCGTCATTGATATCAACCAATAAAAATTCACTATATTAAGTTGTTGAGCTTAGTGGCTCCATTACCTCAAATTTAGATGTTCAAGGGCTTCTCGAACTGGCATGCCAATTCGGACTCCTCCCGATCATAGACGTGACAACTGATTAAGAACTGAGTCTGACTCTGAAATCAACGGATTGACACTTACTTACTCAAAAACTTAAGCTATTGGATGCTACATAGTCACCCATTTTAATTCTCATTCGAATTCAATGTGGAACAACTCTAATACCTTGTACCTAGGACCAAGTTATAATAAACTTGGTGCTGAAAATAGTTTTTTTTTCTCTTAATAAGAGTATTAAGATTCTAGGAAAGGATAAATTACAATCATTCAATCCATGGTGCATTTTATATAGCAGCATTGGTGGAGATATCGTTGTCTGAGATTAAGAAAATGCAATTCACGGATTGCCAACTTTGGAACCAGTCCCTTACTGAAAAAAAAAAACTTTGGAACCAGTCCGGAATGTTTTAAGTAACATACTTGAAATGTAGATGAGAATTTATGTCCTGTTATTTGAGGATCATGTGTGGAACCAGAAACGAACCAGACACAAATAAGCCTCGTGCCAACTCAGTATAACTACAACCTAGCATATTAATAGAAAAAATGTAGGTCAGTAATATGATGCCTTTGCCACCTCAAGAAAGCTAACTTAAAACATAAATTTTAAATTACTTGTTCATATGAAATCTATATTCTTGAAATATCTCAATAAGGAACAATACAAACAGTTCTCTCCCTCTCCATTTCTTAAATAAAAGTTGCTCACAACCCAAATCTTCCGGTACAGCAGTTCTTCACAACCCTCCCAATTCATAATACCTTTGCTGGTTGTCATTTGAAAAGAGTATGGGAAGTGCCATACTTCAGTCGAATGACAGCTACGAATGCTTCAACAAGCTTTCTGAAGCAGGTTCCAATTGCCTCTTAAGAACGCCTCGCGCTCGTCTTCAGGACATACCTCTATGGGAACACTAAACATTTCGTCCCCCTGTCAAAAGTTTCAACAATGCAATAACCCAAGAATAGTCACTTTTATAGCAACAGCTAATTCCCAATTAACCTACATGAACAATAAGTTCTCTAAGATGATCTCAAATCATTTTTGAGATTAGTAATGAAATATGATGATGGTTAAAAATTAATATTGTGGAAGGTAGCACATGCCCAATCACGAACTAGTGCCGAGTCTGCTGACAGAACAGACTGGCCTAGGTGGTGGTGGTGGAATAGTTTGAGATAGTGCCATCGGTTCAGCGACCTATGTTGGAAGGAGCAAAGGAGTCGGTGGTACGTTTGCAACAGAGATGAAGTGATTTGAAAATGCAGAACTTGAACTTTCAAAAGCAGACGCTTTTTGCTCTCTAGGAAACAAGTTATATGCCTATTAGCTTCCAAGAAAAAAGTTCCGGAAAGGGGTACATTTTATCTCAGGTTCTTTGCTCCCTAGCTGCTACCTAGAAGATGCAAATTGAAATTAGAGTCCTGATTAAATTTAAAAACTGGAACTGAGAAAGGAAAAGCTAAATTCAAATTCATTCTACAGATGATACTGCAGCATATTCGTACACTGGGTTACATACCGAATGCATGTGATCCTTACTAAAAATAAAAAAACTGGTCAAAACTGTAGAGAGTCTAGCTTACAGTGTCATAAGAAATGAAACATGCTGTACAGTAGGGCTTTCAAGGTAAGGGATGAATCCAAGCTTTTAACATACCAAACAAGTTCTAAAATTGTGCAAGTGGAGATCCTGCACTGGTGAAGTAAGGGGCGAGATCGATATCCAGGTCATCGAACATGTTGATGAAGGGATGCGTCTGCAATCAATGAGGAGGGTCATTTAGTTGGATATATCGTATTTGATCCATGAAAATACTTGCGCATAAATTTAATAAAGGAATAGCCATGACTATTATATGCACCATAAGTTCATTTGCTGACTGCCTGTCCTTTGGGTCTTTCTGTACACTGAAATAGGTATAAACAAACTTCATAAGAGCAAGAAGATGCAAAGCAACAAAATTTGGGGGAAAAAAAGAAAAGAAATAGCAAATGATTTAGTTACTTGTAATGAATATTCATGAGGGTGTAGAGAAGAAAGCATTAAATGAAAAATATAGCGTACTTGACCATAATACAGTCCAATCACAAAATCACTTTGAATAAGTAAGATTCCACATAAATTGATTAATATTTAAGTCATTTATAGAGAAGAAATAAATGTTGGGAAAAAACAGAAATGACTTATTTGGACAATATCCAACTCGATAGCAACTTAAGTTACTAAATCATGCAAGTGTAACCTTTACCATGCAGAAATAAATGAGCAGAATTCTGGAGAAAATTGATCAGAAGGCGCACAAGGCGGCGGTTGGTCAACAATGGATTCCATAAGCTCATAAACATTAGTCCATCCTTCCCCTTGTTGTGGTGGGGAATATGGGAAACGACCTGTTGCGCACTCGAGCAAAACTAACCCCAAGCTCCAAATGTCACTTCTGTAGCCATAGCTGCCTCCAATGATTCTCTCTGGCTAAAGCACACATATTAATTATGAGCGTCTTTTAAGTTCGAATATACCTTAATAAGGATACCCCTAAATTGCAGGGAAAAGGTAGGGAAAATAGTAGTGAACAAGAAGCATATAATATATGTTTACATATATAAATAAATTACTCACAGACATATAGTTGTATGTGCCAACGAAAGTATTAGCCTGTCCGGAGGTGCTAGCCAGCACTGCACTCACACCAAAGTCAGTAATCTTCACTTCCCCTCTATGATTGATTAACAAATTAGAGGGTTTCAGGTCCCTATGAATAATGTGTTTTTCATGATGAAGATACCACATCCCCTTGAGCACCTGAGTTGAATTAAATAGAAAAAGAATCGAATAAAGGATACTGATATCTGTCAGTAACCCATAAAAGTTTCTGAAGTAAAAATGTGATTTGCATATTCCTTACCTGTTTACAAATGGCAGCAAGATACGGCTCGGGAATTGTTTTGACTTTTTTTAAAAAGTCTGCTAGAGATCCACCATCCATGTATTCCAAGATTATGGAAATGGCACCATTATCATAGAAAGACTGGTAACACACGACCACGTAGGGACATTGTGATGACTGGTTAATTTTCAGTTCTTGTGCAATATGCCTACGAGTGTTCTCATCAAGATTCATTTGAATAACCTGAATGTCACAAACGTTATTAGAACTAATCCTCCCAATAACGATTAAAGAGTACACAGATAAAAGTGTTGGACAAAGCACATTTTTCAGCATAACAGTTGACCAAAAGCATGCCGAGGGTTCAAGTCCAGAATGGGACAAAGTTAAAACAGGCATGGAGCACCTCAGTAGACCAATACCAAGACAACCACTTCAATACAGTCAAATAACCCTATGTGTTGGCAACAGCACCTGCTATAACTTATAAGCCTACAGGAACCCTGTTTCGAAATTCCACTAAATTTACGGTTAAAATCAAATCCAAAGGGGGTTTCACAATTCAAATTGGCCAAAATTCAGATGAAAATATTTGGCCTAGTCAAAATATGTAGTGAATTTCAGAAAAGTTGGATTCAGGATTCAGAAAGAATGGCCTTTTAAATTTTTTTATTAATTCGACCAAGCAGTCAGCCAAATTTTTGTAAATCGCTGTAATCCCATGAAATTCAGCCAAAATTAGAAAAATAAAAAAATTAAAGAGTTCCATGAAATAAAAAATTCAGTGGGGTAAATATAATATTAAGTTTGGGTTTACAACTGATGAAAAAGGTTTCTAAAACCTTGCAGGAGACAAGTACTAGGCTTGTATAGAGCTCCTCAACCTTCCTCCTTGGAACAGGAAACAATTTCTGAAATTTGAAAGCAACTGCTTCTCTCCCTCTCTCTTTTTTACACTGTTCACTAATATACCAACTGATCTAGCTCTTTAATTTCTGTGAAAATGATCAATAATAAAAATATAAAAAAATGCGAATGATATGATACTGAAAGTTGAAGGTTGTGCTAATCACTTCCAAGGACCAGGATAAAACAATAGAAATCCTAGTCTTGAAGTACATAACCAAACGGGAGATTAGATATTTGTTTCTTTCTTTTTACTTAGCAAACTAGAGAAAATGCAGGCTTGGTGTTGAAGTTGTATGGTACCTTCAAAGCAAAAAACTGCCCAGTCCATTTGTGTTGCACCAATCGCACAATTCCACCATTTCCCTTTCCAACGACTTTAATTGCATCAAAATCAGCTAAGCTTAACTGGTTGTCCGATGGTTGTATAAGAGGTGGCTGAACAAAAATTCACATACATGAAAAAACAAAAAGAAATTTCAGCATAAAATTTTGCAAAATAAATGCTATCCAGAAAAATTTTCAACGGGCTACATTCAATTTAAATGGTAACAGAACCCAAGCTTGCTCTTGCACACCCATGACATTCACTTTAGACAGTGTTAAGATGAGAAATATGAAACAGCCAATCTCTTTTCTACGGTAAATGAACTGCTTATTTTGGGTCAATCTAATAATATGTCCACGGTGTTCCACTCATCTATCAAAATTCAATTGGAATCTAATTCTCTCAAAGACCATTCTTTTTTAATCATGGCATCACTAAAACTAAATAATTAATAAAATTGACGAAAACGACGACTAAATTTGGGGACAAATAGATCAGAAGAAAGTTAGAAACCATACTACGAGCTCTAGATCTAACATATTCGTCAAACTACCCTACTAAGCTCTTAAAACCCTAATTAAGAATGCAGGGAGCCTTACACATCACACGAAATTTCAGCAGAGAAGCCTTAAATTGGAATTAAAATGGTTAAAATAAGTAACTACTTTGGTTCAAATCGCAAAAAGAACACTCCATTACAGAAACATTTGAACACTGGAAATCCAAAACCAAAATAACACAAGTAATGTTAACAGTACTCTCAGATCAAACTCAATTCAATAAACAAATAATAATTTGAAGTTGAATTTTCAAGTATCTTACAGCTTGAACTTGGTTCTGGGAGACAATTCGAACTCCGTCTCTATTGACGAGTAGATCGCCATCCATAAAAGTCCCGGAACCGGTTCTACAAAGAATTTGACACAGAAACATTAGAGAGATTGCCTTTCATAAGCATATAAACAAATCACACGCGCATATATATATATACACACACATATAGAGAGAGAGAGAATTACAAGAACTTGGAAATAGAATCTTCATCTGGAGGAGGGAGAGAAAGCTTGAGGTTAGGGGATAAATTTCCCTTCTTCATGTTTGTGTTTTTCGAAGCTCTGTGGTGAAGAGTCGCTGCAAAGTCTTTCCAATAAGCAGTATTTCTAGGTTTACTCTTATATATATGTATGTATATATAATAGTGTTATATTATAGTATTAAACATAGTTTGGTTAGTAAGAGAGCAGTCACCACCATTACACAGAGACGAGGAAGGTGGGTCGGTCGTTTACTTTTCTTCAATTTACCCGCCAGCGACTTTTTACCGTTGATATCTTTGCTGTTTATTATTATTATTATTATTTTATAGTAATCCATTACAAACACTTATTTATTAATATTCATTATAATTGCCTCCTGTAAAATTTATTTTAGATTGTTAGTAAAACTTACCCAAGATTGACAAACACTTGTACACAAGCTATAAAAAAAAAAAGAAATGAATCCAAAATCAATTTTCGGTTAAACAAATTTCTATAAAATTTTGTGTTTTCCATACGTAACCATAGAATTGTTCTAAAAACAAAAAATAAGTCAAACCCAAAGCCAACCAAGTTCACTTAACTACGGAAATGATAAGCTTAAGAAACAAAAAAGCTGGAGCAACCGTTGTCCGTTTATGACACTGGGCTCTGATAAGCTAATAAATTCTTTATAAAAATAGTAAATTGTTCAAAATCAATTTATGATGAATTGATTAAAGATAAAGGTGGATAATATTTTAGAACCCGTTAATATTTTGAGATTGCAATAAAAAGATGTTAATCTTAGAAAACATAATCGCTAAAAGACCTTTTCTTTTTTTTATTCATCCTTATATATGTGTGTATATATATATATACAGCAATGGTTGCTGCAAAGAGAGAGTAATATAATTCGGGTACAGTTCTCCGCTGCAAAAATAAGAATGCATTTCCAACTTCAAGTTTACTGTTGGGAGAAATGTTTTGGTTTTTTAATCATATATATATATATATATTGTTGCTCTCAATGATGTTTCCTTGTTGCTGCTTGAAAAGGATTGTGATTATCTGAAATAATTTTCCTCGAATTTCCATGCAGCTTCTATATTAGTAGTAAGTGGCATCAATTATCAAAGGTCAAGTCAAGTGGCTCCACTCTTGTGTTCCCTTCTATTATTATTATTATTATTAATTATTTAAGGAGAAAACTCAGAGATTTCTTTTTACTAAATATCGTTCAGCAATGATAAAGATGGTTTCGGAAAGCCATTCACATTTATGGTCCTACAATTATCTGTCACATTGAACTTGGGCCTCAAAGTTCATTGGAAATTAAGCATGATATTCCATAGATCAAATGACGTAACTATGCACGTCATGAATGATGAAATTGACACTTCATTTTGTCCGATTTACTTTTTCTTCGCCACCTTCGTCAAAGCACATTCGCAGCAACTACTTCGCAGGATGTAACAAGGGAGCTTGGGAGCTTGTCTCGAGATGAATTCTAACTTAAAAGTGATTGGATATATATAGGTTGAATATTAATTTTATTTAATAATTTAAATTTTTGAATCAAATTGTAAAATATTCACTCATTATAGTTAGTATTAAAATCATATTCAGCCCTTAATTTGAATTTACATCAAAAGTTCGGCCTAGATCGTCCAACCTGCACCCTGAGTAGGCGGTGTAAGTTTGGGTGAGAGAGAATGTAACAAAGGGAAGCTTGTTCCATATCGGATCCGAATGAAAAAATGAATGGGTATATATGAGTTGGGTGTTAATCTCACTTAATAACTTAAAATTTTGAGTCGGATCGCGAAGTACCTACCCATTACATAGGATCATATTATAATCTTATAAATTTGAATTTTTAATAATTTTTTGTTGAATAATATAAGGGTAAATTACACTCAGACCTCCTGAGATTAGGTCATTTTTCAGTTAGATGAAGATTTTGGTTTTAACTTTCACTTACATCCCAATTTATTTTTTGGCATCTAATACATGCGAATTGATCATTTTATCTTTAATTTTTTAATACAAAATATATATAATCTTAAATGACAAAAAAGTCCCTATATATATATATATATATATATATATATATTCAATCACTCTGAGATTCAATCTGCGTTTGCGTCCCCATCAAGCTTTGACCAATAGACCAATATGGGGCTTGGTGATCCCACCAATTTAGGCATCCATCCATCATGTCTTCCTGATCCACGTCGTAAGGGGGCTGAGGATTTCGTTACCTGATTGCGTTGGAGCTCGATGGATAAAAATTTCCTGCTAGAATCATCATATTACCAAAAAACCTGTTTATATCCATATCAATGAACGAAAAAATGATTACCAAAATCAACTTCCTTCCTACTCGAGACTTTTCAAATTTTTTTTTTTTTTTGGTTCATAACTTGTTTACTGATTATTTTAATTATTACTATTATTTGGGGATGATGAGAAGTAAAAAAGCAGATCCCATTTCTATAAAAAGGAACCTTTTAACATGTACTCAGAAATACCACCTAAAGGCTTTATCTCAGAGTTTGCAAAAGAAGAATATCAGGACCCCAAAGAATAGTCAATGATGCAGAGATAATACTGCCATAAGGGCACTATTGCAAATACACCATTGTTGTACAAATATATGCACACACTTATATATGTGTGTTTGTATGATGTGTATGCATTTAGCAGAAAAATTGCAAAAGTATTAATTCCCAAAATAGAAAAAAAGAAATATAACTTAATAAACCCAAGATTCTTGAAAATAATATGGTGAGAATTCAGAAAAAGAAAAGAAGTTGTTATGTGTGTGAGATATATATATATATATATATATATATATATTGTTTGGACACCAAATAAGATTAATATAAATAAATATAACAACTTGATAATATCAATCAAGTTGGGATGAACAGGATTGAGGTGGGATTTGGGTGAGGGATGAGCAGGATTGATGGGTGGAGTTGAGGAAGAAGAGTAGAGGAGGAGAAGGCCATGCTTTGGGGTAGTTTGGTAAAAAAAAAAATAGTCAATAAGGAGCTTAAAGAGTAGCATAATCATTTTATATTGGGGTATAAATGAAATACTAAATCACTTTTTTAAATATAAGTGAAAATTAAAACCAAAATCTTGACCTAACCTTGGAGGGTTTGAGTGTAATTTACCCTAATCCAAGTAATGATTATACATTAATTTTAAGTGGTTGGTGACAGTAAATGTTTAATATTTATACTTCTTACTAAATTAATGTGCAATAATATACTTTAATATGAAATAAATAAAATTTATCACGTAAAATATATTATACCAAATCATGTATAATCAAGTGGGATGGGATAACAAAACAATGCCAAATAGATCAAAACATAATACATTATACAAATAAAAAATTGGTGTGACAATATTTAGGTCCTCACTAGTGAAGATCTACAAACGAGGTGGATCAATAATAAATGAATATGTTATTTTTAATTACCAAATAATAGATGGTAATTAAATTACTATCTCCAATTTGGTAAGTAAGTATCTACACACCATTTTTGATTTGGTAATTAGAAATAACATGTAGATTTATTATTGGTCCACATTAATAGTAAGTATGTTGTAAATTCTCACTAATGAGGACCTAAGTATTGTCCAATAAAAAATGTAAAAAAATTCGTGTGTGGTATAAAACACCCATCTACTTTTAATTTGGTGCAAATACCCCATGTCTACATAAAAAACTATAATACCCTCTTGGCAATAAAATGAAATAATATTAAAAAAAAATAAAGTAAGATAAAGTTATCATTTTAGACAATGACACTTGTCTTTCAACCCTGATTGGTTGGGTGGCCCAATAAAAAATAATTAAAAAAACATGTATACAAAAATTTATATAATATTAAAAAATAAATAAATAAATTGGAGAAGACAGGTGAAACCCAACTGATAAAAAAAATCTCCATTGTCTATCTTTTGTTCCAAAATCTAGTCCCACCACCACCACCACTAGGGATGGCAAATTCCCCATCCCCGCCGGGGCCCCCTTCGCCCCGCCCCGTTTATAGCGGGGACGGGAATCTTTTTAGCTAAACGGGGATGGGGATGGGGGCAAATTTTGAATCCCTTTCGGGGTCGGGGCCGGGGATGGGATAAACCAGCCCCGCCCAGATTAAGTGTGAAGTTACTAATATACCCTTACATATAATAATTTATTACTAAATTAGATTTATTATATATATGAAAATAAGAAAAAATGTGCTTTTTTTAATAAAAAAAGCTTCACTCCAAAAGGCCTCATACCAATTGGAGTGACACATCTACATATAAGCACTTAATCTTTCCTCTATCCAGGCGATATAGGACTGTGCACCCGTAACTCGCCAGTGTAGTAGCATGACAGTGTCTCTTGCACCCGCCCACGGCACATCCGGTTATCACAATCCACCCCCTTGGAGGCCCGACGTCCCCGTCGGCACACTTCTGACTGGGTCAAGCTCTGATACCGCCGGAGGCGGGGTGGGGCTGGGACGGGGATAAGGTGTCGGGGGCGAGGGCGAATATGGAGATTCTGACAAAATTTTAAGCGGGAATGAAGGTAGAAATAGGGAATGAAAAATGCATCTGGAATGGGAATGGGGAATGGAATCTTCGCCCCGTTGCCATCCCTAACCACCACTCCCATCATATCATATCTTTCTAAGCAAATCTCTTCAATTCTAATTTCCCAAAAAAAAAAAAAAAAAAAAAAAATTCTCTTCAATTCTTACTTTATTATAGTTTATTTTTCATATAATATATATATATATATACATACATTCATTCAATTTGGAAATTATTCTCTAATTTCAAATCTCTTTTTAATTTAACTTCTTGGCTGGGAGCCATGTTAACTTCGACATGGAGTTGTCTACGACGACGATGCTGAGGGGTTGCAGAGGAGGAGGCGACTACGGTGAAAAGTGTTAGGAGAGATCAACGAATCAATTGTTCATCTTTGGTTTCATCATCCACTGGCGGCGTAATCATCGTCGGAGACGCCGACTTAGACCGTGAATATCCACCGTCGGTGTGATCGGGCACCAAGGATGACGCGTCGTCTTGCCACCGTATCCACATCGTCGCCGACCAACTCTCTGGTCAACACCCACCTCGCATCGTCTCC